GCATTTAGATGATTGATTGATTGATTGATTGATTGATTGATTAAAGTTTGCAGAGCCACTCAAAAATATGATAGTTTGAATTGAACGTGCTTTCTTGATTTAAAGTTGCTCGAGAATCTTTTATCATCCACAATCTATTACTGTTACGATTCATTTAGCTCATTTCAAATGTAATTTTATTAAGTAATCATTTATATAGTGTGGGATTACTGGTGATTTGCCTTTTGAACTCACTCTCCCATGAGAAACAAGCTATTTGGAGAATGATTATTATTTCATATCTCATAACAACAGCCTGTTGGTTTTGGTTTAGCTGGGAAATTATGGCTTTAATAAAGCAGGAAAAAAAAGTTGTTGTGCATTTAGAGATTGTTCAAATGAATAATTTATGTGTATAAGTTTGTGATGCATCTGGCTTCGCTTGCGTAAACAAATGCGAGCGGGCAGGAGCTGTCCGCTCAGCCATTGTGAAGAGATGTTGACGGTGAATTACTATGCTCCATGTCCCCTTGGGCAGGCTTGCACAACAGGGAATACACACACACACACATACACAAACGTGCACACAATCTAGGAGCTCTTTTGCAACACTGCACCAGGTGGGAAGGGAACAGTAGTGGTGCTATGGTTACGATCTGGTGCATTCCTCTACTGTAGGGCCACTTTACCACTGTCACCATGGTTATCATGGCAGATGAGCAGATAGAGGAGAGTGTCTGTATTCATATGAGATCACAGTAAACCCCCTAAAATAAAATGCAAATGAATAAGATGCAAATTACATTTAGTGTGTAGTGTTGTGGATATTTCAAAACCCACAGGTGTGTTGTGAAGTTTTCATGTTGTCGAAGTTAGAGGTTTTTTTTTTTTTTCCCAGCACGAGCTGTTTCTTGGCCATGTAATTATCTAAACTAGAAGCGCATGTGGGTGTTAGGTCACTGTAATCACATACAAATTGGTGAATGGCTAGAGAATTTCCAACCTGACTGGTTTACGCTGGTTAAATACAGTCTGTTTTAAAGGGCTTCATAGAGATGATTTAGGAGGAACCTGCAGATTTAGTTGTGTTGTGTTGTTTGGACACTTACTTGTAGCACACATTTGTTAGTTTTTTTCCCCACTCGTTTATTACTTGTTTGTTCACCCGTTTATTGTTCGCTCGTTTATAATTAATAAAACTTAACAGTCACTACAGCAGTGGTTCCCCTCTCCCATGGTATGGCACGCCCAACTCGGAAACTTGGGTATTAAAATGATCTCAGAGTTTCCCAGTTGTAAATACGAATTGAGGGGCAGTTCAAGTCCAATTTTTGACTAGGAAACTCTAGTTCCGATAATGCGATAAGACAGCATTTGTTTGTTC